TTTTCCTCCCTCTGCTTTTCTTCCTCCTCCTCCTCCTCCTCCTTCTCTTTATTTTCTTCCTCCTCGTCCTCTTCCCCCTCCTCCTCCTCCTCCTTCCTGGGATTAGCAGAAGAAAAACTTAAGAGTTTTGAAAGCTGTTTGTTTTTTGTTTTATGTTAAGACAATTTTCCCGCTTGATATCTTAAACCTGTCTTCGTCACCACTCTCACCCACACCTAACCCACACACAACCCCACACCTAACCCACACACCCTAACCCACACACCCTAACCCACACACCCTAACCCACACACCCTAACCCACACACCCTCCCCATAATAACGTGATATTTTAATTACGATATAAGACTTTAATTATTGAAATGAGGTAATATGACCCTAACCTAGCCTAGGGCCGGCCAGCACAGAACATAAGGGGCCATGGCCATATTTATGTGTCGGTAAAGAGAGAGAGAGATCTAACAAAGGCTATCATGTCTAGGGTGTCCTTAGGTATTTGCATAGGAACGAGAAGGTCCTTCATGTAGCCTCTCCTTCGCCCTCCTTCCCTCCTTTGCTCTCTCTCTCTCTCCTCTCCCCCCTCCTTCTCTCCACAGCGAAGGAACGAAAAGGACAATGGGAAACGAGAGAAGAAGGAAATAGATGTGGATAGATAGATAGTTGTTAGAATGAGAGAGAGATAATAAAGACGGAATACGATAGAGAAAATAAATAAAAGAGACAGAAGGGAGACAAAGAACGAGACAGAAGCAGACAGAAAGAAGGACAAAGAAAGACAGAGAGAGACAGACAGACAGAAAGAACACAAAAATGAAGAGAACACACACACACACACACACACACACACACACACACACACACACACACACACTAATTTGTCAAGCTGGCCAGACATTACTTAGTGCTGGAATGTGAGTCTCCATGAGGCTCCATTATCAGGAAATGTGGAATCAACAGTTGAGTCTTATGAGTGGCTACCGACGCACCCAAACTATCCCCCGATTAAGTTCACCCCCCAGATAAATCAACACCCCAGATAAATCAACATCCCCGGATAAATCACCCCTTCCCGGATAAATCACCCTTCCCCGGATAAATCACCCCCTTCCCCGGATAAATCACCCTCCACCGGATAAATCACCCCCCCTCCCCGGATAAGTCAACCTCACCCCCCTCCCCTACTCCAGACTCTAGGGTTAGGTGGGATTAACATACATGCTGGGGGGGAAGAGGAGGTGGTGTGGTGTGTTAGTGGGTTGCATCTCTGGGGTGTATCTTTGGGTGTGTTTCTCTGGGGTGCTTCTCTGGGGTGCTTCTCTGGGGTGTATCTCTGGGGTGTCTTTCTGGGGTGTCTCTCGGAGTGCATCTCTGGGGTGTCTCTCTGGGGTGCATCTCTGGGGTGTCTCTCTGGTGGTGTATCTCTGGGGGTGCATCTCTGAGGGTGTCTCTGGGGGTGCATCTCTGGGGGTCTCTGGGATATATTTCTGGCGTTACAGACAGTAAAACGACAGAATTAGACAGAGAGAGATAGTCAACAAAGAGGGAGACAAGAGAGAGAAGAAACTGGAAAAAGTAGACAACAAATAGAAATAAAAAGTGAATAATAAAGAGTTAAAAAGAAAGAAAAAGAAACAGATAAACAAAGGAGAGAAAAATAAAAAGAAATGAGAGGGAGAGGAAGAGTGAGAGAAGGAAAGAGAGAGGGAGAATGGAAGAAACAAAGAGGTACAGACAGACAGACAGACAGACAGACAGACAGACAGACAGACAGACAGACAGGAAAAAGGGAGGCAAAATTAAAGAGAACGAGAAGCTGAGTAGGAGTAAGTGAGAGAGAGAAAGAGACAGGGAGAGAGGAAAGGAGAGAAAGAGAGAAAGAGACAGGGAGAGAGTAAAAGAAAGAAAGAGAGAGAGTTAAGAGAGTTGGTACACATTCGCAAGTGAGGAGACCGGTGGTACACAGGGTACACACAGGGGTCCTTAGTAGGTACGTACCCCGCCCCCTTCCCCACACACACCGCCACTCTCCCCAACACACCACGCCCACTCTTTGTCTCTCTCTCTTCCTCTTTATCTTTCCCTCTCTTTGTCTCTTTCTTATAGCTTCTCTCTTTTTCCAAGTTGAGGTCTGTCTCTTTTTTTCCGGGTTATCCTCTTCTCTTTCTCTCTCGTTCATCCTAATTATCTCTCTGTCTTTATCTCCGTCTCTCCGTCTCACATGATGATAAATAACTCACTCACTCACTCACTCACTCACTCACTCTACACTTGACCATCAGGTGACCTATACACCCAGTTACCAGACCGGAAGTGTGAGTCTTAATGCTCAGTGAGTCGTGAGTTAAATCCTTTCCAATACTCCCCTCCCAACCCATCCCCTCCTTTCCCATCTACACTCCTTCCTTTCCATCCACATCCCTCTACTACCGACCCTCCCCTTCCTCTACCTTCCCATCCCCTCCACTCCTTTCCCATCCACAGCCTCCTATTCCATCCTCACCCCTTTACTACCCACCTCCTTCCTCCCCGTCTTCTATCCTCACCACACCACTTCCCTTCCTTATCCACCTTCCTTACCTAGCCTTTCCCTTCCTAACTAAACCATTCACTCACTGCAAGATGGCGTCGAAAATACACAGAAAACTTCAACTGTAATTGACATTCTTCTCTCCTTCTCCAAAATATAAAACTCTGGGCCCTGGTTGGCTCTAAAGGAACATAATACTTCCAGGCGTCAACCAATCAAATTCTCACGTTTCGTTTTCCGGGGTTTTTCGTATAAAAGTGTAGGTTTTTCTTATTATTTTTTTTTTAATCCCTACATATATTTTTATTTTATTTTTCGTATTTATTTTTCCTGTTATGGGGGGATATGGTGTGTGGATATCCAGAGGCGATGTTTACTGAAGCGGTCTGTATGCTCCCACCAATCTGGATTTACCGGGGTACCATCGGGCGTTCCTCAGGGGGGAGTATTGGGTCCTTTAAAATACGCTGAATGTCACTTGGGTTTCCTTGGTGGTGTAAACATGATGAGAGAGAGAGAGAGAGAGAGAGAAATTGATAAGCAACACTAAAGAAAGCAAGCGAGAAGAGAGTAAGACAGAACGAGAGATAGATAGAGATGGAGAGAGAAATAGGAAGGGAGAGATATGGTAAAGGGAGGGTTTGAGAGAGGAGAGAAGGAGAAGGTTGAGGCACACCCTTAGAGACTTTCTTCATTTCCGTAAGGTCTTCCTGTGTGTGTGTGTGTGTGTGTGTGTGTGTGTGTGTGTGTGTGTGTGTGTGGTATGCTACCACACACACATTCAAATAGAAAGGCTCCCCAATAGAAAGGACTCCCCAATAGAAAGGACTCCCAATAGAAAGGCTCCCCCCAATGAAAGGGCTCCCCAATAGAAAGGGCTCCCAATAGAAAGGGCTCCCCAGAAGGGCTCCCAATAGAAAGGGCTCCCCAATAGAAAGGGCTCCCCAATAGAAGGGCTCCCCAATAGAAAGGGCTCCCCAATAGAAAGGGCTCCCAATAGAAAGGGCTCCCAATAGAAAGGACTCCCCAATAGAAAGGTCTCCCAATAGAAAGGACTCCCCAATAGAAGGGCTCCCAATAGAAAGGACTCCCAATAGAAGGGCTCCCCAATGAAAGGACTCCCCAATGGGGCTCCCCAATAAAAAGGACTCGAAAGCTACAATTTTGACAGGAAATAATGTCGATGAAATCTTCCACGGTGGAATTCCATTAGACAGACGACCTGTTACAAGGATGTTGTCATCAACGCCTCCACCTCCTCCTCCGTCAGATGAAACTCTCTCTCTCTCTCTCTCTCTCTCGCCTATCTGTCTCGTTTGGATATCATTCGTTATTTCTTATTATTTATTATTTTCAGTTCTTATTGTGTTTATTATTATTATTATTATTATTTATTATTATCATTATTGCTCTTATTATTATCGATACAAGGAGACATCTAGGAACAAGGGAGCAAAAGTAACACTTCCCTCCCTATTTCCCTCCCTCCTCTCCCCCTCGCCTCCCTGCCTCCCTTCTCTCCCTTCCGTTTCCTCTACCTCTTTCAAGAGTTATATTCCTATCTCGTTATCAACAGCAAGGTCTCTGTCTCTCTCTCTCTCTCTCTCTCTCTCTCAGCGCAGGTCACCTACCCGGATGTTGAAAGGCGGTTGGACGGCCAGCCATCACCTCCCTCCCTCCCTCCTCCCGTTATCTCTCTCTCTCTCTCTCTCTCTCAAAGCTAATCGATGCTGTCAAAACTCACGACCGACTCACATAAGTCGTTGTGGTTTTCAGTATTATATGAATGAATCACCTCACTCAGGCTTGGAATGAACGACTGACACAAATAAATAATAATTATACAACTGATAAAATATGAATGTTTGTTGAGACGTGTATGGTATATTAACGTCAACTAAACCACACTGGAGTTACTTTACACCTGTATTGTGGCTTAATTGATGCAGGTAATGGTGATGATTTTTTGGTTCTTGGTTTTAATTCTTGTTAATGGTTAGAATTTTCAGAAATGTTTACAAATGTTCAAATAATGTTTAATTTGGATGTTTTCTTTGTGTCCTCTTCCTCTCCCTCTCTTTCCTCTCCCAACTGCAGCTTACTCTTCCTACCCATCCTCCCCCCCTCCTCCTCCTCCTCCTCCCCTCCTCCCTCCTCCCCATCCTCCCCCCCTCCCCTCCAGCCATCTCAGAGTGTTGTGGTATACAGTATGGGTCTCAGTCCTAACTACATTTTAAGTGTTTTGTAATGTCGGACTCGTCGTGTGCCCCTAATGCCCTCTATACCCTAAATACTCCTCCATGCCCTAATTACCTCCTCCCCCCTTCCTTATACCTGAAATACTCCTCCATGCCCTAATTACTCCCCTCCTTCCCTATACCCTGAACTACTCCTCCATGCCCTAATTACCCCCCTCCCTCTATGCCCTAATTAATTTCCACTATTAATGTTTCCTCTTGTCTTCCCCCGTGCAGGCGTGTGCAGTGAGGACGAAGAGAGACTGGTAAGGGATTTATTCCGTGGCTACAACAAACTCATCCGCCCTGTGGAGAATATGACATACAACGTGGATGTGGCTTTTGGCTTGGCTTTCATCCAGTTGATCAATGTGGTGAGTATAGTGTGACTTCTCGTGTACACAAAACACATAACAAGTGCTCTAAGATGATGGATTTGATATGTTTTGAAACCCCCTATGTACTGTAACCGTATGTATTCTGCTAGGTGCTGTAGTGATTAATATTGGTATTATAGTAGAGTTATTATGTATTATTTCTTAAGAGTTTAGGGGAAAAATTTCGTAATTGTTTAGGAAAGGAAAATACTATATCATGATTTTTTAAAAATACAAAGTTTTCTTAGTTCTAAGAATGGTAAGGTCCACAGAGTTCTGGGAAACGCTTGGTTAAAAATTCATAGTTCTTGAAGGAAGGAATAATGGTTCTGGGAAATAGCATATATTACGTAGTTCCTAACCCCTCCCCCTCCCCCAAAAATCAGAACTCTCAAACCAAAAAAAATAAAATAAATAAATAAATAAAGTCAATAATTCTTACAATATTATAAATTAAAAATAATAATGATAAGACAGCAAAATTATCACCACTTTCAAACAAAAATTAATCCAACGTTCTGAAAAACTAATTACATAGTTCTGAAAAATCTTATCCCAAATTTGAAAAAAATTGTGTATAAAATCCCATAAATCAATGACCTTTCTACAAACCAGGACACACACACACACACACACACACACACACACACACACACACACACACACCCACCCACCCTAACTGCAATTACTTAAAAACGAAAAATGAGATTAAATTTTCGATAGTTGGTGAAACAAGAGACACGCCACACCCTCAGTGATACACCACCACTGCTCTGCTCTACCACCCTTAAGCATAGCAGAGGCAAGGGATAGTATGCAGTGGTGGGGAGGGATAGTGTGCTGTGGTGAAGAGGGATAGAGTGCTGTGGGGAGGAGGATAGTGTCGTGGTGAGGAGGATAGTGTACAGGGGTGGGGAGGGATAGTGTGCTGTGGTGAAGAGGGATAGAGTGCTGTGGGGAGGAGGGATAGTGTGCTGTGGTGAGGAGGGATAGTGTGCTGTGGGTGAGGGGATAGTGTGCTGGTGAGGAGGGATGGTGTGCAGTGGTGGGGAGGATAGTGTGCTGTGGTGAGGAGGGATAGTGTGCTGTGGTGAGGAGGGATGGTGTGCTGTGGTGAGGAGGGATAGTGTGCTGTGTGTTGAGGAGGGAGAGTGTGCAGTGGTGAGGAGGGATAGTGTGCTGTGGTGGGAGGGATAGTGTGCTGTGGTGAGGAGGATAGTGTGCTGTGGTGAGGAGGGATAGTGTTCTGTGTTGAGGAGGGATAGTGTACAGTGGTGAGGGAGGTTGTGTGTGCTGTGGTGAGGAGGGATAGTGTGCTGTGGTGGGGAGGGATAGTGTGCTGTGTTGAGGAGGGATAGTGTGCTGTGATGAGGAGGGATAGTGTGTCTGTGTTGAGGAGGGATAGTGTGCTGTTGTGGGGAGGGATAGTGTGGTGGTGAGGAGGGATAGTGTGCTGTGGTGAGGAGGGATAGTGTGCTGGTGAGGAGGGATAGTGTGCTGTGGTGAGGAGGGATAGTGTGCTGTGGTGAGGAGGGATAGTGTGCTGTGAGGGGTGAGGAGGGATAGTGTGCTGTGGTGAGGAGGGATAGTGTGCTGTGGTGAGGAGGATAGTGTGCTGTGGTGAGGAGGGATAGTGTACAGTGGTGAGGGAGGATGGTGTGCTGTGGTGAGGGATAGTGTGCTGTGGTGGGGAGGGATGGTGCTGTGGTGAGGGATAGTGTACAGTGGTGGGAGATAGTGTGCTGTGATGAGGAGGATAGTGTGCTGTGGTGAGGAGGGATAGTGTGCTGTGGTGAGGAGGGATAGTGTGCTGTGGTGAGGAGGGATAGTGTGCTGTGGTGAGGAGGGATAGTGTACAGTGGTGGGGAGGGATAGTGTGCTCTGGTGAGGAGGATAGTGTGCTGTGGTGGGAGGGATAGTGTGCAGCACCTCCACCTGACCTCTCCACACTTCCGCCTGTTCTCCAAACCTCCACATAGACATTCCTCCATAATTTCACCTGGCCTCCACCCTTCACCTGGCCTCAAGCCTCCACCTGGCCTCCACCCTTCACCTGGCCTCCACCCTTCACCTGGCCTCCACACCTCCACATGACGTCCAAACCTCCACCTAGCCTTCTCAGACCTCCTGGCCTTCTCCAAACCTCCACCTGGCCTTCTCCAAACCTCCACCTGACCTCCAAACCTCCACCTGACCTCCAAACCTCCACCTGACCTCCAAACCTCCACCTGACCTCCAAACCTCCACCTGACCTCCAAACCCCCACCTAACCTCCAAACTTCCACCTCAGCCTCCAAACCAAATCTGAAACTACACAAGATACTCGGATAGTAAATTTCTTGTGGAAGATTTCATTTAAAGTTGTGTGTTTCTTGGCCGTCACCTGATAAAAAAATATATTTGTAAGAGTAAATTTGAGCAGAAAGACAGAGAGAGAGAGAGACGGAAATAATCACAGTAAAGTAGTATTAAGTTAGGGCACTGAACTTGCCCCACTACGTTGATGGAGAACTATGCAAACATTATAAAAGAATCAACCAAGTTTAGTCTTCCATTTAGGTGATCGTGTCAGAGGCATCAAATTTGGGGAATGTCTCTATCTCTCAACCTTAACTGTCTCTCTATCTCTCAACCTTAACTGTGTCTATCTCTACTTAACTGTGTCTCTATCTCTCAACCTTAACTGTGTCTCTATCTCTCAACCTTAACTGTGTCTACTATCTCTCAACCTTAACTGTGTCTATCTCAACCTTAACTGTGTCACTATCTCTCAACCTATGTGTCTCTATCTCTCAACCTTAACTGTGTCTCTATCTCTCATAACTGTGTCTCTATCTCTCAGCCTTAACTGTGTCTCTATCTCTCAACCTTAACTGTGTCTCTATCTCAACCTTAACTGTGTCTCTATCTCTCAACTACTGTGTCTCTATCTAACCTTAACTGTGTCTCTATCTCTCAACCTTATGTCACTATCTCTCAACCAACTGTGTCTCTATCTCTCAACCTTCTCTCTCTATCTCACCTTAACTGTGTCTCTATCTCTACAACTGTCTCTATCTCTCCTTTAACTGTGTCACTATCTCTCAGCATAACTGTGTCTCTATCTCTCAACCTTAACTGTGTCTATCTCTCCTTATAACTGTGTCTCTCTATCTCTCAACCTTAACTGTCTCTCTATCTCTCAACCTTAACACTGTCTCTATCTCTCAGCTTAACTGTGTCTCTATCTCTCAACCTTAACTGTATCTCTATCTCTCAACCTTAACGTGTACTATCTCTCAACCTTAACTGTGATCTCTATCTCTCAACCTTAACTGTGTCTCTATCTCTCAACCTTAACTGTGTCACTATCTCTCAACCTTAACTGTGTCACTATCTCTCAACCTTAACTGTGTCTCTATCTCTCAGCCTTAACTGTCTCTATCTCTCAACCTTAACTGTGTCACTATCTCTCAACCTTAACTGTGTCTCTATCTCTCAACCTTAACTGTGTCTCTATCTCTCCTTTACTGTGTCTCTATCTCTCAACCTTAACTGTATCTCTATCTCTCAACCTTAACTGTGTCTCTATCTCTCAACCTTAACTGTGTCTCTATCTCTCAACCAACTGTGTCTCTATCTCAACCTTCTGTATCTCTATCTCTCAACCTTAACTGTCACTATCTCTCAACCTAACTGTGTCTCTATCTCTCAACCTTAACTGTGTCTCTATCTCTCAACCTTAACTGTGTCTCTATCTCTCAACCTTAACTGTGTCACTATCTCTCAGCCTTAACTGTATCTCTATCTCTCAACCTTAACTGTCTCTATCTCTCAACCTAACTGTGTCTCTATCTCTCAACCTTAACTGTGTCATATCTCTCAACCTTAACTGTGTCCTATCTCTCAACCTTAACTGTGTCACTATCTCTCAACCTTAACTGTGTCACTATCTCTCAACCTTAACTGTGTCACTATCTCTCCTTTAACTGTGTCTCTATCTCTCAACCTTAACTGTGTCTCTATCTCTCAACCTTAACTGTGTCTCTATCTCTCAACCTTAACTGTGTCTCTATCTCTCAACTTAACTGTGTCACTATCTCTCCCTTAACTGTGTCACTATCTCTCAACCTTAACTGTTGTCACTATCTCTCAACCTTAACTGTGTCACTATCTCTCAACCTTAACTGTGTCTCTATCTCTCAACCTTAACTGTGTCTCTATCTCTCCTTAACTGTGTCTCTATCTCTAACCTTAACTGTGTCTCTATCTCTACACTGTATCTCTATCTCTCAACCTTAACTGTGTCTCTATCTCTCCTTTAACTGTGTCACTATCTCTCAACCTTAACTGTGTCACTATCTCTCAACCTTAACTGTGTCCTATCTCTCAACCTAACTGTGTCTCTATCTCTCAACCTTAACTGTGTCACTATCTCAACCTTAACTGTGTCTCTATCTCTCAACCTTAACTGTGTCTCTATCTCTCAACCTAACTGTGTCTCTATCTCTCAACCTTACTGTCTCTATCTCTCAACCTTAACTGTGTCACTATCTCTCAACCTTAACTGTGTCTCTATCTCTCAACCTTAACTGTATCTCTATCTCTCAACCTTAACTGTGTCACTATCTCTCAACCTGAACTGTGTCTCTATCTCTCAACCTTAACTGTCTCTCTATCTCTCAACCTTAACTGTGTCACTATCTCTCAACCTGAACTGTGTCTCTATCTCTCAACCTTAACTGTCTCTCTATCTCTCAACCTTAACTGTGTCACTATCTCTCAACCTTAACTGTGTCTCTATCTCTCAACCTTAACTATATCTCTATCTCTCAACCTTAACTGTGTCACTATCTCTCAACCTGAACTGTGTCTCTATCTCTCAACCTTAACTGTCTCTCTATCTCTCAACCTTAACTGTGTCACTATCTCTCAACCTTAACTATATCTCTATCTCTCAACCTTAACTGTGTCACTATCTCTCAACCTGAACTGTGTCTCTATCTCTCAACCTTAACTGTCTCTCTATCTCTCAACCTTAACTGTGTCACTATCTCTCAACCTTAACTGTCTCTCTATCTCTCAACCTGTAATAGGGTCCAGTGTTACGGGAACTCTTACATCCAATATATAATATAATGATAATTTTGATAGCAGGATTGACCATGATACCATGATATCTCTCTACCATGATATCTCTCTATCTACCATGATATCTCTCTACCATGATATATATATTCTCTGATGGCGTCTATAATATGATATTATCTCTTTCAGAATGAGAAGAACCAGATTATGAAGTCTAACGTATGGTTGAGACTGGTGAGTAGAGCTACAGTATCTCTCTCTGTCTCTCTCTCTCTCTCTCTCTCTCCCTCTCTCCCTCTCTCTCTCTCTCTCTCTCTCTCTCTCACACGTACCTCATCTGGAGAAGCAAAATCGATTCACTCAAATGGGAAAGGAGATGACGGAAGAAGATCGAGACAGACAGACAGACAGATTGACAGAGAGAAACAGAGACAGGGAGACTTAGTTTTAGACAGACACGCAGACAAACACAGATAGAGACATGTAGAGAGACAGAGAAACCAATAGACAGAAACAAACAGAAACAAATGCAAAGATAGAGAATTAGACAAAGACAGACAGACAGACAAATTAAACAAAAACCATCCCATCATTCCCTTTAACAAACACAAAACTATTACATTCTACACCAATCTTTCATAAACTATAATCATTAACTTTTTTTTTATTATTATTATTTATTCATTATTTATTTTACATTTAAAGGCTGAAAAACACGTAAAGAAAAACCAAAACAAATCCCTCACAGGAAAAGAATAATTGTATAAACATAAAACAGATTTGGGTCAGGATTGTAGATGTGAGAAAAGCTGTGTATGTTGGCCAGGGGTGTTAGTACAATGGGTGGACCCACCAGTTGTTGTATTGATGGAACGTCAACCGTGTGTAGCTTAACCCTAGAGCTCCTCCCACTGCCCTCAACTCTCTCTCTCTCTGTATGTGTGTGTATATCTGCTTGAATATATATGTGTGTGTGTGTGTGTGTGTGTTTATATGTATTTTTCCGAGTGTGTGTGTGTGTGTGTGTGTGTGTGTGTGTTGTTATACCAAGTGTAGAATCCGGACAAACATGCAAATACTATTTAATTATTTCACACCTGGTCTGACCTTGTTAAGAATGTCAAAAGGTGAAAGAAAATAAGGTCAGGTAATTGTCATGGCGAGGTATTAGGGGAGGTAATGGTAGTTATATTTAATGGCCTTGTTTAATAGTAAGGTCACTGTATGTATGTATGTATGTATGTTCTGTATGTATGTATGTTTGCTTTTGTTGTCTTTGTGGCGTGGTGGTAGCGATCCCTGTTCACACGCACAGGTCCAGGGTTCGATTCCCGACTAGTGAGGTATTGTTTGTTTATGTATAGTATGTATATTTGTATAATTTGACGAGAAGAAATTCATGTGAGGTTTAAAGTGTGCTTCGTTATACATAAGACGTCATTAATTATCGTAGCATAACAAAACTATATCCAATGTAGGTTAGGTTAGGTTAGGTTAGGTTAGGTTAGGTTAGGTTAGGTTTGGTTTGAAGACCTCAAGTAGTCATGCTTATATTAAAACATTCAACCAACAACAAACTCGTCAGATATTTTACTCAGAGTTCCGCGAGTCACGTCAATAGCAGTATGAAAGGTGACGGAAATGAGTGACAGGACACAGTAGTTCCGCCGAGTGACTGTCTTCCGTCTGCCGATAGATGACGCCCGGTGGTGAGTGAAGTTTGTTGACTAGACCGGTGTGGGCGGGAGGTGTGGGCGGGAGGTGTGGGCGGTGTGGGAGCAGATATGTCACCACTCTAGGAAGCTAAGATCAGCTTTGAGACGTAGTAAGACTTTAAATGAGTAAAATAAGGCAATGGATCTCAGTTATTTTGTAATTTGAGTCTCTCTCTCTCACACACACACACCACACGACAGATTAAATTCACGGTGAAAGAAATGTTAGATTTTTTTTTTCTTTCACACCAACTCCTTCATTCCTAAAACCTCACATCTTCCCCAGTTTCCCAGATTTTTCCCAGATTCCCCCGCGCACCTCTGACGAATATTACATTATTATTATTATTATATTATTATTATTATTATTATTATTATTTAACATTGTTGTCATTCCTCTAATTTATCAACTGTTTTTTTTTACTTCCTAATCATCGTTCAATCATTCTTCCTTCCCCTGTCCATATCTTGATGTTGCCATTTCTCACCTAACTGTCAGCCACTCTCCCTCACCTTATTGTCAGCCACTTCTATCGCCTTACTGTCTGCCACTCCCCATCACCTTGCTGTCAGCCGCTCTCCCTCACTGTCAGCCGCTTCTCCTCACTGTCAGCCGCTCTTCCCTCACTGTCAGCCGCTTTCCTCACTCTCAGTCACTCTCCCCTCACCTTTCTGTCAGCCACTCCCTCACACCTTACTGTCAGCCACTCTCCCTCACTGTCAGCCACTCTCCCCTCACCTTCTGTCAGCCACTTCTCTCACCTTACTGTCAGCCACTCTCCCTCCTGTCAGCCACTCACTGTCAGCCACTCTCCTCACTGTCAGCCACTCTCCCCTCCCTCACTGTCAGCCACTTCCCCTCACTGTCAGCCACCTCACCTGACCTGTCAGCCACTTTCCAATCACTGTCAGCCTACTGTCAGCCACTTTCCAATCACTGTCAGCCACTCTCCTCACCTTACTGTCAGCCACTTTCCAATCACTGTCAGTCACTCCTCACCTTGCTGTCAGCCACTCTCCCTCACTCAGAACCACCTCCCTCACTGTCAGCCACTCCCTCACTGTGAACCACTCTCCTCACTGTCAGCCACTCTCCCTCACTGTGAACCACCCTCCCCTCACTGTCAGCCACTCTCCCCTCACTGTGAATCACTCTCCCCTCACTGTCAGCCACTCTCCCCTCACTGTGAACCACTCTCCCCTCACTGTCAGCCACTCTCCCCTCACTGTCAGCTACTCTTACCTTTCTACCTAGAGGCTAAGTGATGTGTCATTTAAGACTGAAGTTATCGGCCTTCCCCTCTTATTTCCCCTGGTGGTGGGGGTGAGAACCTCTCCACCACAACAACCACCAACACTACCACTACCATCGTCAGTACCACCACCACGGTTAATTTATTACTTTTACACCTACTACAATACTACCACTACTACCTACTACACCTACTACTACTACTACCACCATTACGACGACCACCACTATCACTGCTACTTTCATAGCCAATCCTACTACTACCATTAACTTATACCATCCATCTACCCACCGTCTCTCTCTCTCTCTCTCTCTCTCTCTCTCTCTCTCACACATACATATATATACACACTCCTCTCTCCTCCTCCCCCCTTCTCTCTCCGCTACTCTTGTCCTATAATCTTCCCTCCCTTCCTCCCACTCACCCTTCCTCCCCCTCCCCTCTCCCTTCTTTTTCTACCCTATCCCTCTTTCTCCTCCTCTTCCTCCTCCATCCCCTCCCCCTCTCCTCTCCTCTCCCCTCTCCCTCTTCTCTCTCCCCACTTTTCCTCGTCCCCCGCGGCTGGTCTCTTCAAGGGGAACGACCGACTCTAGGCTTACTGGACTCGTCTGGTCGGTCGCCTCGGTCGCCTGGTTGGCTCTCAGCAAGTTTCGTTTCGACAGAGGCGACCCCAAGCCCTAAGGACCTGAGAGGGGGGGTATTAGCTGTGGTGGCGGTGGTGGTGTTTAGCTGTGGTGGCGGTGGTGGTGTTTAGCTGTGGTAGCGGTGGTCGTATTTAGCTGTGGTGGTATGTTACCGGTGGTGGTGTCAGCTGTGGTGGTGTTAGTTGCGGTGTGTTTAACAAGAAACAAAAAAATACCACTCCCAAGTGATAACCACGAAAGAGGGACGTACAAGAGGCGGGCAGCTCTCACAAAACACGTCAACTACGGCCTCCTAACCTGGCGTATTAACATGGCGTGGGCCGGCTGAATACATATCTTATCATTATATTAGTCGCTATATTACGAGTACTGCACTCTAACGGTAACCCCTTCACTACGAGGACGTCACTCTTAGCTGTGAGAGTGTTAGCTGTGGGGGGTGTTAGCTGTGGGAGGTGTTAACTGTGGAAGGTGTTAACTGTGGGAGTGCTAGCTGTGGGAGTGCTAGCTGTGGGAGTGTTAGCTGTGGGAGTGTTAGCTGTGGAGTGTTAGTTGTGGGAGTCTAAGCTGTAGGAGGTGTTAGCTGTAAGGGTAGTAATCACGGGAACTTTAGCTGCCGGTGAATTATCTGTAGGTGTTAGCTGTTAGAGGGTTAGCTTTGTGAAAGTTATACGGTGTTAGGGTGTGGGAGTGTTAGCTGTGGGGGATTTTTACCTCTACTGTGTTTGCTAAGGTAGTGTTAGCTTTGAGGACGTTAGCTTTAAGAATGGTCGTTATGGAAGTTTTAATTGGGGGAGAGCCTCAGGTGTGGTATTGTTAAGTGTAGCGGTGTTAGCTGTAGGAACTGAGGGAGTTCTTTGGAGTTACCAGTGGATACATTAGCTGAAGGAGAGTCACTGGTGATAATATAAGCTGTGGGAGTGAAAACTATGGTATAATTTTAGGAGAGTATCTGAGGGAGTGGAAAATCTGTAAGAGAGTTTACTTTGGATTTACTATACATTAGCTGTGGAAGAGTCACTGGTGATAAAAATAGCTGTATGGAAGTAGTATTAGCTGTGGTAGTGATAGCTGTTATATTTTTTTTTTTTTAGGAATATGAGCTGAACGAGTATTTCCTGAATAAAAGTTAACGAGTTCGGGGAGTAAAAGTTTTAGCTGTGGAAGTGGAAGCTTTGTGAGAGTTTCCTGTGATACTGTTAGCTGTGGTGAATTTATCTCTGTGCATTCTAGCTCTGGGAGTGTTAGTGGAATGATAACTGGATGGTTGTTAGCTTAATAATAAGTCAGGTTAGGTTAGCGCTGTGAAAGTTTTAGCTGTGGGGGCTCTCAACCTTGGTATGGTTGGCTGTTGAAGACGAAAGCTATAAAAGACGAAGATGAACAATCAGAACGTCAAGACTGGGTCATAAGCTGCCAGAATTTTAGCTGTTGGAGTTTAAGGTGAAGGAATGTTAGCTGTGGGAGTTTAAGGTGAAGGAATGTCATCTGTAGGGGTTTTAGGTGAAGAAATTTTAGCTGTAAGGGTTTTAGGTGAAGGAATTTTAGCTGTAGGAGTTAAGGTATAGGATTTAAGGTGAAGGAATGTTAGCTTTGGGAAGTTAAGGTGAAGGAATGTTATC